GTCTTGGTCTGGTCCTGGTCTTGGTCTTGGTCTTGGTCTGGTCTTGGTCTGGTCTTGGTCCTTGGTCTTGGTCTTGGTCCTGGTCTGGTCCTGTCTTGTCCTGGTCTGGTCTTGGTCTTGGTCCTGGTCTTGGTCTTGGTCCTGGTCTTGGTCCTGGTCTTGTCCTGGTCCTGGTCCTGGTCCTGGTCTTGGTCTTGACTCTGTGTTTTTGTGCAGTTGTTTAGTTTCCAGCTCCTTCGAGGTCTGAGTTACGTTCACAAACAGAAGATCCTCCACCGGGACCTGAAGCCTCAGAACCTCCTGATCAGCTTCAGAGGAGAACTCAAGCTCGCAGACTTCGGTGAGAACCCGACCGGGACTCAAACCGGACTAAAACAGGCTCTGAACCAGGACTGAACCAGGACTAACCCAGCGTCTCTGGTCCCAGGTCTGGCCCGGTCCAAGTCCGTCCCCTGTCAGACCTTCTCGTCTGAAGTGGTCACGCTGTGGTACAGACCTCCTGAAGTCCTCCTGGGCTCCACGGACTACACCAGCGCCCTGGACATGTGGTACTGGACCAGGACTAGACCAGGACTGGACCAGGACTGGACCAGGACTGGACCAGGACTGGACCAGGACTGGACCAGGACTGGACCAGGACTAAACCAGGACTACACCAGCGCCCTGGACATGTGGTACTGGACCAGGACTAGACCAGGACTGGACCAGGACTGGACCAGACTGGACCAGGACTGGACCAGGACTGGACCAGGACTAAACCAGGACTACACCAGCGCCCTGGACATGTGGTACTGGACCAGGACTAGACCAGGACTAGACCAGGACTGGACCAGGACTGGACCAGGACTGGACCAGGACTGGACCAGGACTAAACCAGGACTACACCAGCGCCCTGGACATGTGGTACTGGACCAGGACTAGACCAGGACTGGACCAGGACTAGACCAGGACTACACCAGGACTACAACTGGACCTGGACTAGACCAGGACTAGACCAGGACTGGACCAGGACTAGACCAGGACTAAACCAGGACTACACCAGGACTGGACAGGACTAGACCAGGACTAAACCAGGACTGGACCAGGACTGGACCAGGCCTGACGCAGGACTGTTTGTTCAGGGGAGCAGGGTGTATTCTGGTGGAGATGCTGCAGGGGGCGCCGGCGTTTCCTGGACTTTCTGACGTCTCTGAACAACTCAGGAAGATCTTCTCTGTGAGTAAAAAACTGGGTTAGTCCTGGTTTAGACCTGGTTTAGTCCTGGTTTAGTCCTGGTTTAGACCTGGTTTAGACCTGGTTTAGTCCTGGTTTAGTCCTGGTTTAGACCTGGTTTAGTCCTGGTTTAGTCCTGGTTTAGTCCTGGTTTAGTCCTGGTTTAGACCTGGTTTAGATCTGGTTTAGTCCTAGTTTAGACCTGGTTTAGACCTGGTTTAGACCTGGTTTACCTGGTTTAGTCCTGGTTTAGTCCTGGTTTAGTCCTGGTTTAGACCTGGTTTAGACCTGGTTTAGACCTGGTTTAGACCTGGTTTAGACCTGGTTCTGGTCTGGTTCTGGTCTGGTTCTGGTCTGGTTTTGCAGGTTCTGGGCGTCCCATCTGAGGAGACTTGGCCTGGAGTCTCTCTGCTCCCGAACTACAGCACAGGTGAGTCTGGGTCCTGGTTTAGTCCTGGTTTAGTCCTGGTCTAGTCCTGGTTTAGTCCTGGTTTAGTCCTGGTCTAGTCCTGGTTTAGTTCTTGATAAATGTTCTTTTGTTCCAGAGGGTTTTGGGCGCTGTGACCCTCGACCTTTGCGGAGCGTCTGGAAAAGGTCAGATTCCCGGTGTTTGGCTCAAAGGAACAAAAAAAAAAAAACGTGTCCACATGTGGGACAAGATTTGAACCACCGACTTTAGACTAGTCCTGGTCCTGGTCCTGGTTTAGTCCTGGTTCAGTTCTGGTCCTGGTTCAATTCTGGTCCTGGTTCTGGTCCTGGTGGTTCAGTTCTGGTCCTGGTTCAGTTCTGGTTCTGGTCCTGGTCCTGGTCCTGGTTCACTTCTGGTCCTGGTTCTGGTCCTGGTTCAGTTCTGGTCCTGGTCCTGGTTCAGTCTGGTTCTGGTCCTGGTTCCTGGTCTGGTTCTGGTCCTGTTCAGTTCTGGTCCTGGTTCAGTTCTGGTCCTGGTCCTGGTTCAGTTCTGGTCCTGGTTCACTTCTGGTCCTGGTTCTGGTCCTGGTCCTGGTTCAGTTCTGGTCCTGGTTCTGGTCCTGGTTCAGTTCTGGTCCTGGTTCAGTTCTGGTCCTGGTTCTGGTCCTGGTCCTGGTTCAGTTCTGGTCCTGGTCCTGGTTCAGTTCTGGTTCTGGTCTCAGGTTGGGGATGCTTCCGTCTAAAACCTCGGACCTGATCCAGGATCTGCTCAGACCGAACCCCAGAGTCCGGATCTCGGCTCAGGACGGACTTCAGCACAAATACTTCAGCTCCCTGCCCCCCGCAGTACACGCAGTACCTGACCGTGAGTACTACAAATACTACTACTACACGCAGTACCTGACCGTGAGTACTACAAATACTACTACTACACGCAGTACCTGACCGTGAGTACTACAAATACTACTACTACACGCAGTACCTGACCGTGAGTACTACAAATACTACTACTACTACACGCAGTACCTGACCGTGAGTACTACAAATACTACTACTACTACTACTACACGCAGTACCTGACCGTGAGTACTACAAATACTACTACTACTACTACTACTACTACTACTACTACTACACGCAGTACCTGACCGTGAGTACTACAAATACTACTACTACTACTACTACTACACGCAGTACCTGACCGTGAGTACTACTACTAACTACTACTACTACTACTACTACTACTACACGCAGTACCTGACCGTGAGTACTACAAATACTACTACTACTACTACTACACGCAGTACCTGACCGTGAGTACTACAAATACTACTACTACTACTACTGCAAATACTACTTCTTTGACTGATTTCTTGATTTCAGATGAGTCTATTTTTAAAGTTCCTGGGGTGAGTCTGGAGGCTGAAGTCCGAGACCGGTTCTACCCCGGTCCCAGAGTCCGGACTTCACTGCTGGACCGGGCCAAGTTCTGGTGAAGGAAGTGACATCACGAGGAAGCCCGGAAACAGGAAGAGATGCAGCGGATCAGGCAGGAGCGGATCCTGAGGCGCAGACTACCGGATCTGCGTCACCAGGAAGTGAGCGGGACGGCAACAGAGGGACAAACCTCTGAAACGGGACAAACCTCTGTCTTTATTATTTGATTTTGATTTGATTTTATTTGAGTGTTTTGTGGTTTGAGTTGGTCTGTTGTAAATGCAGCTTCAGGTGGATTTACATTTGGAGATTTGACTGAATAAAAACAACACATTGATTATTAAAGAGTCACCCTAATGTCACAGATAATACTCCCTACAGCTGTACAAGAACTCGCCCTTGTGTCACAGATAATACTCCCTACAACTGTACGTCAGCTCACCTCCGTGGGCCTCTTGTCTGTGATATTTTGTATTTATATGATTATATTTCTGTTTTTGACTTGTACATTTACTTTTCTATGTTTCTGTTTCTGTTGTTTTTGTGTTTTCTCTTTGTTGTTATATTATTTCTCTGTGATGTGTGACTCCTGGGTCCGAGTCTTTTCTGTGGATCAATACAGTTTGAGTCAGAAATATTAAAATTATCACGAACAAAACATGTTTATCCCAAAGGGGTCAAAGGTCACTTGGGGAGGGCATCCGAGCGAAAAAGTCCCATCACCGTGACTTTTTTGACTTTTAGTTTATCATTTAGTGAATCGATCATAAAACTATCGATCCATGAATCGATCCATTGAATCGATCCATTGAATCGATCCATTGAATCGATCCGCGCTGTTTCCCTGTGAGTGCGCATGCGCGGGGCGGCGGTAAACATGGCGGCCGTTAGCTCCGTGTCGCGGCTCCAGGATTTACCTTCAGACCCGCTGCTGCACGTGCTGTCCTACCTGAGCTTCAGAGACCTGCTCAGGTACGAGCCTGACCCGGACCGACCCGGACAGACCCGGACAGACCCGGACAGACCCGGACAGACCCGGGTCTGTGCCCGGAGGAACCCGGGACACCCGGACAGAGCGAAGCTAGCGGCTAATGCTAATGCTAAAAACACAGCAGCGGAGGCTACATGCTAAAAACAATCACAAAGAAATACAAGTGTTTTAAAGAAATACAAGTGTTTTAAAGAAATACAAGTGTTTTAAAGAAATACAAGTGTTTTAAAGAAATACAAGTGTTTTAAAGAAATACAAGTGTTTTAAAGACACAGATCAGGACGAAGAGCAGCTCCCGCGCCCTTTATCCGTGTGTGACACTTTAAACATGTTAATTATCAGGTTAAAACTTTAGAAAGAGTTTTTACAGCGTTTACAGACGCACAGGAGACTGTGGTCCAAACCAGAGCGCGTCATAAAAGCATTAAACCCCCTACAGAACCTCCTGTACAGAACCTCCTGTAGAACCTCCTGCTCTCACTGAGGAGCAGAAACTTCATCAACTCCTGCTGCAAGTCTGTAGGTTTGACCAGAACCTCCTGAGAACAGAACCTCCTGAGAACAGAACCTCCTGAGAACAGAACCTCCTGAGAACAGAACCTCCTGAGAACAGTCTCTGAGTGCAGCTGCAGTCACATGTGTGTGTTGTGTGTTTGTGTGTTGTTGTGTGTTTTACAGTTGCAGTCACATGTGTGTGTTGTGTGTTTGTGTGTTGTTGTGTGTTTTACAGTTGCAGTCACATGTGTGTGTTTTTATAGTTGCAGTCACATGTGTGTGTGTGTGTGTGTGTGTGTTGTGTGTTTTACAGTTGCAGTCACATGTGTGTGTTGTGTGTTTTACAGTTGCAGTCACGTGTGCAGACGTCTGAATGACCTGAGCAAACACAATCCTCTGTGGAAGAGACTCTGTCACCAGCACTGGCTCCTCAAAGAGTGAGTACAACTACTATTACTACTACTACAAGTACTACTACTACTACTACTACTACTGCTACTACTACTATTACTAATACTACTATTACTACTACTGCTACTACTACTACTGTTATTACTGTTACTTCTTACAATAAAAACTCTGCCAAGTACATAAACTGCTGTGTGTTTATACAATAGTACTACTGCTTGTACTTTTACTACTTCAGTACTCTGTGTGTGAGTATGACCTGAACTGTGTGTGTGTGTGTGTGTTCATGTGTGTGTTCATGTGTGTGTTCATGTGTTCATGTGTGTGTTCATGTGTGTGTTCATGTGTGTGTTATGTGTGTGTTCATGTGTTCATGTGTGTGCTGCAGGTCAGACCGTGCTCAGAGCGCCCTCTCCTGGTACGACCTGTTCGTGCAGACGTACTCAGACCTGGGTCGGTACGTGGACGTTTACGCTGAGCTCAAACACACGTGGGACCAACTCACCGCCTTCCTCCAGCTCAAGTGTCCTCGCATCATCGCCTCGCTCAAAGGTACTGCACCCTGCACTGCCCCCTGCACCTGCCCACTGCACCTGCCCCCTGCACCTGCCCACTGCACCTGCCCCCTGCACCTGCCCACTGCACCTGCCCCCTGCACCTGCCCCACTGCACCTGCCTGTCACAGGTGCTGCTCCTGTCTCAGAGAGGTAGTTCATGTTCATAAACATGTTTGTGTCTCGTGGAGCAGGTGCAGGTTCTGAGTTTGTCACAATAACTTTATGAAGTCTGATCTGTCACTACAGAGAAATACTGCGACAAACAATAAAACTGAAACTATTTTATGACACAAAAACCAAATCTGAAAATCCCAGTAGAAAGACAGAGAGATAGAATCAAATAAATCATCCAGTGAGGTTCATTTGGTCTTCTGATCATTTATGCTCTTAGGTTCTTCTGCTTCTCCTGCTCCCTGTGCTCTTCCTCAGAGTCTTCCTCAGACTTCCTCAGAGTCTTCCTCAGAGTCTTCCTCTCTTCCTCAGAGTCTTCCTCAGACTCTTCCTCAGAGTCTTCCTCAGAGTCTTCCTCAGAGTCTTCCTCAGAGTCTCTTCCTCAGACTCTTCCTCAGACTCTCCTCCAGAGTCTTCCTCTCTTCCTCAGAGTCTTCCTCAGACTCTTCCTCAGACTCTTCCTCAGAGTCTTCCTCAGAGTCTTCCTCAGAGTCTCTCAGAGTCTTCGTCTTCGTCTGGTGATGTTTCTGTGTCGTGAGGCTCAGTTGATTTAAACAGGTTTTGTCTTTGTCTCGTTGGAGTCAGGACGACAGCGCCACCTGCAGACGCACTTCCTCAGGACAGAATCACAGGAGTGTGAGTGGAAAAAAAACCCTCGTCCTGTTTATTGTCCCGTGAGCATGTTTCTGTATTTCGATTTCCTCTTTAATCCAGAAACGATGTTTGTGGGACAGAGGACAACAAAAACCTGTTTAAATCAGCTGAACGACACGACACAGAAACAAGACGAGACTCTGAGGAAAAGCACAGGGAGCAGAACAAACTGTCAGGAGGAAAAAAGAACCTCATGACTTATAATAGAATAATACTTTATTCATTCTGAAGGAACTTCTTGAAACCATTTTTGAGTAAACAGTTTTAAATCGTCAGGATCATGTGAGTCCAGAGCCACGACACATAAACCACAGAGTCACCAGTGACAGAAGAACAGAAACTACTCTGGAAACTCTGGAAACTCTGTCAGTGTGGACACAGAAAACACTCACACGCTGCAGCTTCGTGTTTCTTGTTTGTAACGAGAAGTGGCTGTAGCGGTTGTGGTTTGGGCCGAGTCGTGTTTACAGCACAAATGTTGATGTTGTGATGTTGTTGTTCTGTGTGTGTCCTGTAGAGGGAGCCACAGAGTCAGAGCTGGACGCCGTGGAGGCTCAGATCGAACTCAAACTCCCAAACGACTATCGCTGCAGCTGCAGGATCCACAACGGACAGAAGCTCGTCATCCCAGGGTCAGGACTAAACCAGGACTAAACCAGGACTAAACCAGGACTAAACAAGGACTAAAACAGGACTAAAACAAGGACTAAACCAGGACTAAAACAAGACTAAACAAGGACTAAACCAGGACTAAACCAGGACTAAAACGAGACTATAACAGGACTAAAATAGTAAGAAGCCTGGTCTAACCCTGATCTTGTCTCTGTCTTGTCTCTCGGTCTAACCCCGGTCTGGTCTTGGTCCGGGTCTGGGTCTTGGTCTGGGTCCTGGTCTTGGTCTGGGTCTGGGTCCTGGTCTGGGTCTTGGTCCGGGTCCTGGTCTGGGTCCTGGTCTGGGTCCGGTCTGTGGTCAGGCTGATGGGCAGCATGTCTCTGTCCAATCACTATCGCTCGGAGGTTCTTCTGGACGTGGAGACGGCGGCCGGAGGGTTTCAGACTCGTCCAGGGATGAAGCTCTGTCTCCCTCTGACCTTCTGCTTCCACACGGGACTGTCCCAGTACCTGAGTCTGGACCACGAGGAGGGACGGACCCGAGGGGAGGTGTTCTACCCCTGCCCGGTGAGGACGGGGGGAGGACGGGGGGAGGACGGGGGGAGGACAACAGTTATTCATCTTGGTTCCTCTGGATGTTCCTCATGTTCTTCTTTGTTCTTCTGTAGAACCAGAGAGCCTCAGACCCTTCAGCCATCGACATGTTCATCACAGGTCTGCACCTCCTCCCTCCTCCTCCTCCTCTGTCTCCTCCTCTGTCTCCTCCTCTGTCTCCTCTGTCTCCTCTGTCTCCTCCTCTGTCTCCTGTCTCCTCCTCTGTCTCCTCTGTCTCCTCCTCTGTCTCCTCCTCTGTCTCCTCTGTCTCTCCTCTGTCTCTCTCTCCTCCTCCTCTGTCTCCTCCTCCTCCCTCTGTCTCTCCTCTGTCTCCTTCTCTGTCTCTTCCTCTGTCTCCTGTCTCCTCTGTCTCCTCCTCTGTCTCCTCTCTCTGTCTCCTCCTCTCTCCTCCTCTGTCTCCTCCTCTGTCTCCTCCTCTGTCCTCCTCCTCCTCTCTGTCTCTCTCTGTCTCTGTCCTCCTCTGTCTCTCTGTCTCCTCTCTGTCTCTCCTCCTCTGTCTCCTCCTCTGTCCTCCTCTCTCCTCTGTCTCCTCCTCTGTCTCCTCCTCTGTCTCCTCTGTCTCCTCTGTCTCCTCTGTCTCCTCTGTCTCCTCCTCTGTCTCCTTCTCTGTCTCCTCTGTCTCCTTCTCCTCCCTCTTCGTTCACTTTTCTTCTTCTCGTGGTTCAGGTTCTAGTTTCTCGTCCTGGTTCTCGTCGTACGTGCAGAACGTCGTGAGCGGAGAGTTTCCCATCATCAGAGACCAAATCTTCAGGTAACACTCACCTGACGCCAGCTGACCAATCAGAGCTCACCTCCTTAAACCCCAACCAATCACAATACTGGGCCCTATGTGCTGATTGGCTGTCATATGGTCATGCTGCTCTCTGATTGGCTGTTGTGTGGTCGTGCTGCTCTCTGATTGGCTCCTCAGGTACGTTCATGAAAAAGGCTGTGTGGCGACGACGGATGACATCACCGTTTCCGTGTCGACGTCGTTCCTCCCGGAGCTTTCCTCAGTCCATCCCCCGCACTACTTCTTCACCTACAGGATCAGGTGAGACCGGGACCGGACCAGGACCGGACCCAGGGACCGGACCACAGGGACCGGACCACAGGACTGGACCACAGGGACCGGACCACAGGGACCGGACCACAGGGACTGGACCAGGACCGGACCACAGAGACTGGACCAGGACCGGACCACAGGGACTGGACCAGGACTGGACCAGACCGGACCACAGGGACTGGACCAGGACTGACCAGGACCAGGACTGGACCACAGGGACTGGACCAGGACTGGAGCAGGACCAAACCAGGACCGGACCAGGACAGTAAAACATCTCAACTGGACAGAGCCAAGGGATAATTCAGGGACTAAAACTGGGACTAAACCAGGTCTAACTCCGGTCTGTGGTCTGTGGTCTGTGGTCCGTGGTCTGTGGTCCGTGTGTCTCGTCAGGATAGAGATGTCTGCGTGTGCTCCTGCGTCTGCGTCCTGTCAGCTCGACTCCAGATACTGGAAGATCACCACCTCAGACGGAAACGTGGAGGAAGTCCAAGGCCCGGGGGTCGTCGGTACGAAACTCACACACTGGGGTCAGAACCTCACACACGGGGTCAGAACCTCACACACGGGGTCAGAACCTCACACAGGGTCAGAACCTCACACACGGGGTCAGAACCTCACACACTGGTCAGAACCTCACACACGGGGTCAGACACCTCACCTCACACGGGGTCAGAACCTCACACACGGGGTCAGAACCTCACACGGGGTCAGAACCTCACACTGGGTCAGAACCTCACACACTGAGTCAGAACCTCACACACGGGGTCAGAACCTCACACACTGGGTCAGAACCTCACACACTGGGTCAGAACCTCATACGGGGTCAGAACCTCTTACATTCAGATTGGACTCAGCGTGGGTTTAGACTCAGAAATCCCTGGAAAAACATTCTGACTGAGCAGGGGAGTCGCCTCTCCACAGATCTGACCTGGAACTCGGTCTGGTTTGGTCTCCATGGAGATAAAGATCTGACACCGCTGTCTGAACCCAGCACCACAAAAACTCAGACCAGACTGTAGGAGCTGTTTTTTAGATGTTCCTCAGACGTTCCTCAGACGTTCCTCAGACGTTCCTCAGACGTTCCTCAGATGTTCTGTGGTTGTGTGGTTTGTTTGCAGGTGAGTTCCCGGTGATGACTCCAGGTAAAGTCCATGAGTACGCCTCCTGCACCACCTTCTCCACCCCCTCAGAATACATGGAGGGACACTACACCTTCCACCGGCTGGGTAAGACTCTGCACCGGGCTACCGGTTAGTCCTGGTCTAGTCCTTGTTTTTAGTCCTGGTCTAGTCCTTGGTTTAGTCCTGTCTAGTCCTTGTTTAGTCCTGGTCTAGTCCCGTTTAGTCCTGTCTAGTCCTGGTTTAGTCCTGGTGGTCTAGTCCTCTAGTCCCGG